CAAGGCAGAGACATCTCCAGCTCATCCCCTGTTTGTGTATCAGCCAGCACGTCAACGACTTAAATCTAGAAATAGTTTTCTAAGATCTACAGAGACACTCGCTGGAACACCTCAGCAAGCGAGAGTCCAAAAGTGGCAGGCTCAAACCCAGCACCTCAACCAATGGCTGATACCAAATGAGAGACTCCCTCCTCGGCACACAGAAGACTGGGCAACTTGGAAGGCGCTGAACAGACTGCGCTCTGGCACCACGAGATGCAGAGCCAACCTTCAGAAATGGGGCTACAAAGTGGAATCCTCGACATGCGAGTGTGGAGAAGAGCAAACCACTGACCACCTGCTGCAATGCAACCTGAGCCCTGCCACATGCACAATGGAGGACCTTCTTGCAGCAACACCGGAAGCACTCCAAGTGGCCAGATACTGGTCAAAGGACATTTAACCAGCTACCAAACTCACAAGTTGTGTATTTTTCTGTTTGTTTGCTTTGTTCTGTTAGAAATGTAATATAATGGACTGGTTGCTCTGACACGACAAATAAATAACCAAATTTGTGAGGAAAGCCGGGCAATGATCAATATCAGCTTAGGAGCTGATTTATAAAGGGAGTATTATTTACAGAAGTATTTATTTATTTGATAGCGTAGCGTTTAATGTCCCTGTTTTGGTTTTACTACTTATGCAGGCTGTTTGGCTTAGGAGTAAAGGTAACAGAGGCAAGGCTTGTAAAGAGAACAGTAACAAGTTTTATTAGAATATAACCGATTCAATGTTTCTTCACTAGATGCACAAACTTAGTTGGTTACAATAGTAAGGTTTCATGAGTAACTTTAGGTTTAAGACTTTAAGAGGTTTCTGTAAGCAGATGTATTTTTCCTGGACAACTGTCCTAATAAAACAAATAAGCTAAAAGGCTTATTTAACAGAACTGGCTCCCAGCCAAACCTTGATTCTTAACTCAGAATAAATAACCCCTCTGTAGCTCTATCACTACCAGGTCCTTTCCTGTAACCCCTTTGGTCACAAATTAGTTTTCTGAATCTCCACCAGAGATTTCAGTCTTCTCTGTAACTCTAACGGTCACAGACTCTTCCCTGTTTCTCCCACTAGAGAAATCAGTCCTTTCTGTAACTCTAACGGTCACAGACTGCCTATTTCAAACAAATGTGCAGTTAGGTGACAGTTGGCTCCACCCCTGTTGCTATGGCAACTCAGGCCAAGCCAGCCACCATCTCTAACAAAATATAATTCTACATACTTACCATTTATTACCTACTGTTTAAACAACACCTAACTATAGGAACAAAATTACACATCGTCACAGTGTACCATCCCAAACCATATTCCAGGTGCAACAAGAACACACACAGGAGAACGATAGGCTCTTGGACGTATCTCAATGGATTGTCCTTGACGAATGCACCGGGGATGTCGAGGAGGAAGACAACACTTTACACCTACACAATTCACATCAACAGGATCACTTTTCCGGGAACCTACACACTACATTGCACAAAAGGGACCCTGTCAATCCTGAAAGTAAACAGGTCTTGGTAGTAGGTGACTCCCTCCTTAGAGAAGCAGAAGTCGTCATTTCCAGACCAGATGGGATGGCTCGAGAAATATGCTGCCTACCGGGGGCAAAAATACACCATATCAGTCAGAGGCACACCAGGCTCCTCAAGCCCCATCACCATCCTCCCCTCATGTTGATTCATGTAGAAACCAATGATACTGCTAGGCATACTTTTCAAAAGAACACAAATAATTCTTGAGCTCTTGGAACAAAGCTAAAACAATGTAATGTACAGGTGGTCTTTTCAGCCCTCCTCACAGTTGTAAGACACGGTCCTACAAGGGCCAAAAAAATAGTGCAGGTCAATAACTGGCTTAGAAAATGGTGTCAGGAGGAATGCTTTGGCATTCTCGACCATGGCCTGCTTTTCCAGGAGGACGGCCTACTGACAAGGGATGGGGTGCATCTCACACAAGTAGGAAAACACCTTTTTGCTCACAGGCTCACAAACCTCATTAGGCGTACTTTAAACTAGATTCACCGGGGGAGGGGGACAACAGCCTTGTGAACAGTACTTTACCCACAATGTCAGGAAACTGCCATAAGGCTAAACAGAGGGCTGCACAAACACAACAAGGACCAAGTACCGAAAGCAAAATAATCCTAAATAAACAGCTCAGGGGAAAATCTCAGGGCCTCACATATCTTTACACTAATGCACAGAGCATGGGAAATAAACAAGACGAACTCCAACTTTTAGCACAACACCACAAATATGATGTCATAGGCTTCACTGAAACCTGGTGAGATGACTCCGATCACTGGAATGTAGACATGGAGGACTATAACCTCTTTCACAGAAACTGAACAAAAGGGAGAGGAGGCGAAGTAGCCTTATATGTCAAAAACTGTTACGCTGCAGAAGAGATGCAAGACAGCAATCTGGGAAACCAGCTTGAAAGTCTGGATAAGAATCAGGGGAACTGGGACTCAAAAAGATGTCATTGTAGGTGTCTACTACAGACCTCTAAGCCAGGAGGAAGAACTTGATGAAGTCTTCTGCCAACAGTTGACCAAACAGGCACAGAGAAGAGATGTAGTAGTCATGAAATTTCAACTATCTCGATATTTACTGGAAAACAAACTCGGCCAAGAGTACAAAGTCCAACAAATTCCTCACTTGCCTTGCAGACAATTTCATGGTTCAGATGGTAGAGAAGGCAACAAGGGGGTCGGCTACTCTTGATCTCATCCTAACAAATGCGGAGGAACTGATCGATGCGGTTGAAGTGGTAGGATCCTTAGGGGCAAGTGACCATGTGCTCCTGCAATTTGAGGTACAAAGGAAGGCCGAAACTAAGACAAGTCAAACCCGCATTTTGGACTTTAGGAGAGCTGATTTCCAAAAAATGAAGGAAACACTGAGCAGCATTCCGTGGACACAGATACTAAAAGACAAAGGAGTTACAGATGGATGGGAGTTTCTCAAGAGTGAAAGACTCAAGGCGCAATTGCAAACAGTGCCAACAAAGAGAAAAAATAGGACAAGTGCAAAGAAGCCAGAATGGTTTGCAAACACTTAGAAACAAATGCGGTCGTTGCTAATAGTCAACATGGATTTATCAAAAACAAGTCATGCCAGACTAATGTGATCTCTTTTTTCAATAGAGTTACAAGCTGGATGGATGTTCTTTCAAGGTGCTTGGCGATTTATGATGACTCTAAGGCAAATATTCATAAATATTGTTTAGAGGCAAATGGCTTTCTCTTTCCTCTGAGGCTGAGAGAGTGTGACTTTCCCGATGGATTTCTGCGGCCAAGTAGGAACCATAGAATCATAGAATCCTAGAGTTGGAAGAGACCTCATGGGCCATCCAGTCCAACCCCCTGCCAAGAAGCGGGAATATTGTATTCAAAGCACCCCTGACAGATGGCCATCCAGCCTCTGGTTAAAAGCCTCCTAAGAAGGAGCCTCCATCACACTCTGGGGCAGGGAGTTCCACTGCTGAACAGCTCTCACAGACAGGAAGTTCTTCCTCATGTTCAGATGGAATCTCCTTTCTTGTTGTGGTGACCCCCAACCATAACATTATTTTCATTTCTACTTCATAACTGTAATTTTGCTACTGTTATGAATCATAATGTAAATATCTGCTATGCAGGATGTATTTTCATTCACTGGACCACATTAGCACAAATATCTGATGCATCCTAATTTGAATGCTGTTGGGGTTGGGGGAGATTGATTTTGTGATTTGGGAGATGGAGTTGCTGGGATTTATAGTTAACCTGTACTCCATCAACGATAGAATTGAACAAAACTTGACACACAGAACTCCCATGACCTACAGAACATACTTGAAGGTTTGGTGGACATTGTCCAAACGTGAATACTGGTAAAGTTTGGAGAAAATAAACCTTGACATTTGTGAGTTGTTGCTGGGATTTATAGTTCACCTACAATCAAAGAGCATTCTGAACTCCACCAACAATAGAATTGAACAAAACTTGACACACAGAACTCTCATGACCTACAGAAAGTACTCAAAGGGTTTGGTGGACATTGCCCAAATGTGAATACTGGTGAAGTTTGGAGAAAATAAACCTTGACTTTTGTGAGTTGTTGCTGGGATTTATAGTTCACCTTCAATCAAAGCGCATTCTGAACTCCACCAACGATAGAATTGGGCCAAACTTCCCTCACAGAAGCCCCATGAACAACAGAAAATATTGTGTTTTCTGATGGTCTTTGGCGACCCCTCTGACATCCCCCTTGCGCAGAGGCAGCCCTAGGTAATTTTCAACGGTAAGCAAACAGTATTTTGCCCCCCCCCCCCAACCAATCACTGATATATATTTTCTGTTCGTCATGGGAGTTCTGTGTGCCATATTTGGTTCAATTCCATCATTGGTGGAGTTCAGAATGATCTTTGATTGTAGGTGAACTATACATCCCAGTAACTACAACTCGCATATGTCAAGGTCTATTTCCCCCCAAGAATGCCTCAAGAGCGCCCCTGGGCAAAATCAACTATACCGCAAATACTTACTTTGCGTAATGGTTGAGCCGCCCCTGTGGAGGACCAAGTAAATGCCTAGTGAGGGCATATTTTGTCAGATGTGGGTCCATGAGACAGTGGTTTGTACTGATCTCATGGGTTAGGCTCTATAAAGGAACCCAATGAAGGCCTTTTCCTGTTAGATGGCTCCATTGCCGTCCCTTTCAACATTTCTCAACCTACTGAAGCCTCTCACGAGGTCTCCAAGGGCCGCCCGTAAACAAACATGCATTGCAGTAGTCAAGCCACAAGCATTTCCTATGAGACCACAACTTGGAAAGACCTCAAGGTCTATTTTCCCCCAAGAGCGCCTCAAGAGCGCCCCTGGGCAAAATCAACTATACTTTGCATAATGGATTGAGCTGCCCCTGCCCTCGCAACCCCCCCAGGGGTCCCGACCCCCAGTTTGAGAAACGCTGCCTTACCTTCTCTATAGATCCTGGAAGGAGTCGGAGAAGGAGTTTGCACAAGACGACTCCGTCTTTGAGGGACGTTTTGAGGAACTGCAAGGGGTCCCCGACCTTCATTTTCGGGGAGTTCAAGGCTCCCAATGAAATCAACCAGGTCACAATTTGCTCTTCGGGGTTCATGCTGGTAGGGTTTCTCCGTCTTGAGGAAAAGGCCGAGCCACCTCCGCAACACTGCCTTCCTGCTTCTTCTGGGCCAAACCGCCCTGAGATGTCACAGATTGCCCTGCGCTGAAAGCCACTGTCCTTTTCTCTCTTTTTTTTCCGGTTTACAAAGTCACCAGAAACTGACTTCCCTCTTGACTAGAGGAACGGGTTTGTGCGCATTTGCACACATGGTTTCTCGTCTGCAGAAGTGCCAAGGAGGGAAGCTTCTGGGGCTAGAAGTCGTGCCGTAAACACGGATTTCCTGTGTCGCTGAAAACAGAAACTTCATGCATTGATAGCTCTACATCCTTCCTTCATCTTCAAGGATAGAAGCCTTGGTTACACCTGGAAAATGAGTTGGGAGGAGTGCAAGGGAAGGAGGTCCTGCTTGAATCTTTCTAATCTGACAGATTAGAGAGATGGGCCAAAACTAACAAAATGAAGTTCAACAGTGACAAATGCAAGATACTCCACTTTGGCAGGAAAAATGAAATGCAAAGATACAGAATGGGGGACAATGCCTGGCTCGAGAGCAGTGCGTGTGAAAAAGATCTTGGAGTCCTCGTGGACAACAAGTTAAACATGAGCCAACAATGTGATGTGGCAGCAAAAAAAGCCAATGGGATTTTGGCCTGCATCAATAGGAGCATAGTGTCTAGATCTAGGGAAGTAATTCTACCCCTCTATTCTGCTTTGGTTAGACCACACCTGGAATATTGTGTCCAATTCTGGGCACCACAATTCAAGAGAGATATTGACAAGCTGGAATGTGTCCAGAGGAGGGCGACTAAAATGATCAAGGGTCTGGAGAACAAGCCCTATGAGGAGTGGCTTAAAGAACTGGGCATGTTTAGCCTGAAGAAGAGAAGGCTGAGAGGATATGATAGCCATGTATAAATATGTGAGAGGAAGCCACAGGGAGGAGGGAGCAAGCTTGTTTTCTGCTTCCCTGGAGACTAGGACGCGGAACAATGGCTTCAAACTACAAGAGAGGAGATTCCATCTGAACATGAGGAAGAACTTCCTGACTGTGAGATCGTTCAGCAGTGGAACTCTCTGCCCCGGAGTGTGGTGGAGGCTCCTTCTTTGGAAGCTTTAAAGCAGAGGCTGGATGGCCATTTGTCAGGGGTGATTTGAATGCAATATTCCTGCTTCTTGGCAGGGGGTTGGACTGGATGGCCCATGAGGTCTCTTCCAACTCTTTGATTCTATGATTCTATGATTCTATGATTCACAGTGTTTCTCAACCTGGAGGTCAGGACCTCTGGGGCAGTGTTTCTCAACCTGGGGGTCGGGACCCCTGCGGGGGTCACGAGGCGGTGTCAGAGGGGTCGCCAAAGACCATCAGAAAACATAGTATTTTCTGTTGGTCATGGGGGTTCTGTGTGGGAAGTTTGGTCCAATTCTATTGTTGGTGAGGTTCTGAATGCTATTTCATTGTGGGTGATCTATAAATCCCAGCAACTACAACTCCCAAATGCTGAGGTCTATTTTCCCCAAACTCCACCAGGGTTCACATTTGGGGACATTGAGTATTTGTGCCAAGTTTGGTCCAGATCCATCATTGTTTGAGTCCACAGTGCTCTCTGGATGTAGGTGAACTACAACTCCAAATATTTAAGGTTAATGTCCACTAGACCCTCCTAGTATTTCCTCTTGGTCATGGGAGTTCTGTATGTCAAGTTTGGTTTAATTCAATCGTTGGTGAACTTTAGAATACTCTTTGATTATAGGTGAACTATAAATCTCAGCAACTACAACTCCCAAATGACAAAATCAATCCCCCTCCCCCCAACCCCACCAGTATTCAAATTTGGGCGTATCGGGTATTTGGGCCAAATTTGGTCCAGTGAATGAAAACACATCTTGCCTATCAGATATTTACATTACGATTCATAACAGGAGCAAAATGACAGTTGTGAAGTAGCAACGAAAATAATGTGATGGTTGGGGGTCACCACAACATGAGGAACTGTACTAAGGGGTCGCGGCATTAGGAAGGTTGAGAAACACTGCTCTGGGGGGATGGCGAGGGGTTTCAGAGGGGTTGTCAAACACCATCAGAAAACTTATAATTCTGATGGTCTTAGGAATCCTGTTGGCCAAGACGGCTGAAGATCTCTCCGCCTGTCTTTCTCTTCCTTTTTGGAAACACATGGCGAATCCTCCCACAAAAAGCCCTCTTCTGTTGTGATTGACCTGTCTCTCAGCCAATGGAAGGGTTGCTTCTAAGACCCCAAGCAGGGAGGAGAGAGCAGGCGTGCTCGACACATGGCGTGAATGTGTAGGTCAGAAATGAGGGTCAGAGTTGGCAAAAACGGTTCACTGACAGAAGCCTTCGCCACAACAAGTGGAGTAAAACAGGGATGTGTATTGGCTCCCACTCTTTTTAACATCTATTTGAATGATTTAGTGACATGTTTAACCAAAATTGACTCCCCTTCACCAGCAATCAGGAATAGAAAGATTTCCATCCTGATGTACGCAGATGATTTAGTGCTCTTATCCCTTTCTCGGTTGGGTTTCAAAAACCTCTTGAAGGCTTTCAGTAAATATTGCCAAGAAGAATATCTATCAATAAACTACTCTAAGACCAAAGTGATGGTTTTTGGAAGACACTGTCCCAGGTACAAATGGATGTTAGACCAACATGCCATAGAACAAACCCAATTATTGAAATACTTGGGAATTGTTTTCAGTGAAACTCTTTCCTGGAAACATCACAGCGAAGCAGTGAAGCTGAAAGCTCAGAAAACAATAGGTGCCCTAATGAAATTCTTCTATACACAGGGTGGCCAGCTGATAGAACCTGCCCTTAAAATTTTCAGCAGTCAAGTACTAGCACAGGTGCTTTATGGTGCAGAAATCTGGGGTTCAGATACCAACCTTTGCAAAACCCTGGAAATTCTGCAGAACAAGTTCCTACGAAAGCTTTATTACCTTCCAGAGGGAACCCCTGCAGCGCTTCTGTGCACCGAATCTGGATTGCCATCAGTAAAATCAAGAATAGATTGTGCCCAATTAAGATACTTCAAACGAATTGCTACTCTTCAGGGCGACCGGTTTCCTGTGTTGTGCTACGAGGAAATGAGTGGCCATGGACAATGGAGATCCGGCCTGGAGGACCTCTTACTCAACTACAATCTTCCTGAATTGAATTCTGCCCTGGACATGACTAAGAGACAACTAAGAGACTGGCTATTTTGGATTGACTCAAGAAGGACCCTGCAATCAATCAGGAACTCAAAGTTTTCCCCATGGTTCCCCTTTTTGAAAACTGAACACTTCAGAGCCAGATACCTGATTAAGCTCAAGCCTCCTTCCTTGAGAACCGCCTTCACCGAGCTGCAATTTCAAGTGATGCCAACCGCAGTGTTAGATGGTCGCTACCAAAATGTTCCCTGGGAAAACAGACTATGTATTTGTAGTCAATGTCAGGTAGAAGACATTGTGCATTATCTGTTAGTCTGCCCATTGTATAGTGACCCAAGGGAAAGACACCTGAAACCCTTGTTGACACAAGATGAAGGGAACTCTATTGCAGAAACAGTGCGGTTTCTACTGGGCGATACAAATGACTATGTAACTTACAAAGTAGCCCTTTTTGCTCGCTCTGCAAAAAAGATCAGAAAGACAGAGTTAGATAAAATTGCTATCAACTGCCAAGGAGATTCTAAGGGTTAACTGGATCCTCTCCTAAAATGTATTTTAGCTATTATTAACTTCCATTGTTTTTGTTGTGGGAGCAAATTATGGTTCTGTTTAGTATCTTTGGTGTCTGTACTCTGAGGGTACTATTGTGTGTGTGTGGTGCTTTTTGTCATGGCCTTGGGCACGTACAATAAACTATTTTGATGATGAATGTGTAGGTGAGGGAGAGCTCACGAGGCTGGAGGGAGGTTCATGTCAGCAAGACCCTTCAAGGCATCATCATCATCATATTTAACAAGACAGAGGTACTCCTGGTCAGTCGCAAGGCCGAACAGGGCATAGGGTTACAGCCTGTGTTAGACGGGGTTACACTCCCCCTGAAGACGCAGGTTCGCAACTTGAGTGTGATCCTGGACTCATCTCTGAGCCTGGAACCTCAGGTTTCAGCAGTGACCAGGGGAGCATTCGCACAGTTAAAACTTGTGCGCCAGCTGCGCCCGTACCTTGGGAAGTCTGACTTGGCCATGGTAGTCCACGCTCTAGTCACATCCCGTATAGACTACTGCAACGCTCTCTACGTGGGGTTGCCTCTGAAGACTGCTCAGAAGCTTCAAATGGTCCAACGCTCGGCAGCCAGGATGCTAACAGGAGCGGCACTCAGGGAGCATACAACTCCTCTGTTGCGCCAGCTCCACTGGCTGCCAATTTGCTACCGAGAACAATTCAAAGTGCTGGCATTGGCCTTTAAAGCCCTAAACGGTCCTGACCCGACTTACCTGTCCGAATGTATCTCCTCCTATGAACCAGTTAGGACGTTAAGATCGTCTGGGGAGGCCCTGCTCTCGGTCCCGCCGGCCTCACAAGTGCGCCTGGCGGGGACGAGAGACAGGGCCTTCTCAGCGGTGGCCCCCCGGCTGTGGAATGCTCTCCCTGCAGATATTAGATCGGCCCCCTCCTTGCTGGTATTCCGGAGGAAATTGAAGACCTGGATGTTCAAACAAGCATTTGGCTAAGCAGTGTGACGGATTGATTATTGGAACACGGAATAATGGATAACGAGATTGGATACTGATTCTAGTGATGAGACCTGATGGATTTGCGATACTGATGTAATTTTGTATTGATGCTTTGTTTTTTTTATTGTGATACTGTCGTTTTAAATGCTTATTAACTGTACTATATATACTGTTGAATTGTTGTAAACCGCTCCGAGTCGCCTAAGGGCTGAGAGGAGCGGTATACAAGCGAAGTAAATAAATAAATAAATAAATAATTACTTATTAATTGCCCTCCATCCGAGAACGTTCTAGGCGATTTACAGCTAAATTGTAAAAGATAAAATACATACATACAGAATTTAAAAATTAACAGAGATCGAATGCTCTAGTAAAAAGCCAGGTCTTAAGTGCGAGAGTAAAAGGCCCTAAGTCACACATGGCTCTCATGTAGGGTGGCAAGGAATTCCACAAGGCAGGGGCAGAAATAGAAAAAGCCCTGCGTCTGGTACTTTCC